ATATTCCATCTTAGTGACCATAAGAGCATTCTTGCTAGATTTGAGAAGTTTGTCTCCATTATATCCGCCTAATTCCGCCAAAATGTGGTGTGAATTGTGTGGAAATGATTCGTTGCTTTTCTTCAGAAGGACTTCGATTCCTATCGTGTGACTTTTTCGAGATGCTCCGGATTGTCGGTTAACGAATTTCCGGCTACCGGAAATGTTAAGTTGCTGGCGAATGTCGTCGTCGGAATCTTTGTCCGGGGCACTGTCTTCTCGCTTAATTTCATCCTGATCAGAAACTTCGCCGTCGTCTAAAGCATTTTGCCCAAGAAATTGTCTTTGTTCCCGGCTAACATTGTCCCTACGGGCTGCCAAGAGTCGCTCTACTTCTTGTGTATTAATTATTTCAAGAATGGAGCCCATACCAGCTGCCGGCTCACGATCGTTTTCAGCGCCGGCTGCCATGGAGGATGTGAAAAATAACCACATGTACACCACTGCCCATGAGTGAAGCCACACCAATCCTGATTGATGAAAGACCATTCTCTGAAACAAGTCAAAAGTAACTTTTTAAATGAAATACTAAACCAATTGGTGAACAGATCAGAGTGTCTAAACCACAAAGAGCGAAAAGCTTCTGACATTTTCAGTTTTCTGTTAAACATAACAGCTACTATTTTGTTAATGGTCATTAACTAACTGATTTTTGCAATTGAGATGTGATTTTTCCTGGTAATAATCAATATAGTACATGGGTACTAGCATGATTCCTTAAATTAAACAAAAATGTGTATTTATTTACCATGTATTATCACTATTTTCCGCCTTACACGATTTAATTTGCTTCATCAAAGCTTTATAATTGTTGATAACGAAGAACTTGGTAATAATAATAATTATAACAAAACACTTTTTCGTTTGTATTTTTCATGCACCGAATAGTTACATCGTCATGCCGCAGGGGGCTGAAAGAAATGCAATAGTAGTTAACTGTCGTGCACAATTTGACATAATACGTAATGTAGATGACCATTTACCACTCAATCAGCGATTTATTGCGAATGACAAACGTTTTCATACGAGGAAGCAAGACATAAAATAGGAGAAATTTTGTTGTTGTTAAATAACTGTAAACAGAACGCACCCTTGAATTTCTTAAGTTGGTACTACCTTCAGCGCAACGAACTTGAACGTAAGTCATACTGCTAGAACAAGTGCCTTCTCCTGGAGTGTGTACGAACGGGCAAATAAGGTAAGTGCACTACAAATATTAAATAAATTTGGCACTATATAAGCTTATAAGCTTAATATTAAGAAATGTAGCAACTTCAGAATACAGTGGCAAGTACATGTTTTAGATTGTTCAGAAACGTAGTGGAAATGCCGTTAACAGCTCGCTAGCACAGCCATGGCGGAAATCGTATTGGTCTGTGCTGTTGTGAAACGACTAAAATATTATTAATTGCCCGTCTGTACGCAGCAGATGATAAATATATTCTTGAGCTCGTGCTTTTATTTATTTATGCTCACGTACCACTACGCAAACATCAAGACAATCGATACGATGAAGATTATGGTTAACCTTGAACGAGCTGCGAGCCCTTACTCAACACATACCGCACTGTTTTTCCGTATCTGCGCTCGTAATTCGGAATCGGAGGACACTTCATGCCATGCAGTTTATTTAGTTACATTAATTTAGATGATGTGTGTTGTGTCTAGCACACACAAGAAAAGCAAAGTCAGTGAGTCTAAATATTTTTGAAGTGAGTTTTCCAATTAAATATGAAAGTATATCGAAATAAAGAATGACTGGATTACACAAGGAATAAAAGTATCTTGCAAGCATAAAAGCAGTTTGTTTATCTACAGTAGGAACAGCATTTTATATTAAGTATTGTAAAATTCTGAATAATGTTATAAAAGAGGCTAAAAAGCAGCATTACAGTAGACTTATAGCAAAATCAGAAAATAAAATAAAAACAACATGAAACATAATAAAAAGGGAGACAGGAAAAATACATTTATCAGATAAGATTATATCTCTTGTAATAAACAATGAAAAAGTAAAGGGTCCAGGAAAAATAATAATTTTTTCTAACAATTACTAAGAGCTTAAATATACATCAAGCAGGGACAGAATATGCAATTTCATTTTTAAAAGCTGCATTTCCTGTAGAATTTCCTGGTCTTAATATTATTCCAACCACTGAAACAGATGAAAAATGTAATGCAGTCCCTCAAATCAAAAAACTCATCAGGTTATGTTGACACAACAAGTAAAATTTCCAAAACTTATTCAGCTTTAATTATTCATCCATTAACCCACATTTGTAATCACACAGGCATTTTCACAGACCGCCTTAAAATATCAGAAGTACGAAAGCTGCACGAGAAAGGTGACGAAACCAGTATGACAAACTATGGCCCAATTTCACTGTTGACAACTTTTTCTAAAGTATTTGAGATTAAGTCATCATATGCATACTGACAACAGTTGGTCCCGGAACAATCTGACTTCAGTAAAGCTTTATCCACTGAAGTTGAAGCAGTCAGAAAAATGCATGTTGGAGAACACATGAGACCATGACCCACATTTTCAACACAGAAAACCTTACGTGTTGGTTCTTAACACGTCGTCATACATATAACATGGAGGAAATTAATCGTGATTGACTTTCCTAGTTGGATGATATGCACGAAAGTAGTAATATTTTACAGTGAAAAACTAACAAAGTTACTAGCTGTGAAGTATTAATTTTCAATAGGCTCATAGACCACAGTCCTTTCTGAGAAGCTCTATAGTGCGACCTTCTAGTCAAGAAATTCACGCGTTTTATGAAATCAGATGATTCATCGCCTTGTTTACAATTGCCCACCACCTGTCCCTATCCTGAGCCATAAGAAGCCATTTTATACTTCACCTTTTCGCAAAGATCCATTTTAATATTATCCTGTCTTGTACTTCTAGGTCTTTCTTCTTGAGGCTTCTAATTAAAATTTTATACGCTTTTCGCTGTTCATGATAATGAGAAAGATATTATCAAGATGTGTTAGGACAGACGGACTTGTTCGAACCTTAAGTCTATAATTTTTTAACAGGTTCAGGAAGATGATTCTCTGTTCCGATGAAATTATTTGAAGCAGTTTATTGCCGGACTCACTAGAAAGCTAAGTCCCGTGTGGCAAAGGAATTTCAAGTCTTTCTGTGGAGCTGTAGTTGATGACATCGTGTGAAGCCCGGAAGCAACTTGACCTTGAATTCGCATGAGTGGAACTCTTTGAGTGCCAAGAGTGACGATGATCTGATTGCTCTATGAACCCACTGCGGTATATAACATCATTCTTCATTAAGCTATTCTGAAACATTACATTATCTGTGCCACAGGAATTATATGCTAAAAGCGAGTAGTCAACGATGCATGGAGCTGCAAAATACGGTGTTCCTTTAGAAAAAGATTGTTGTTTGCGAAGGCCAACTGCAATGCATAAATATATTTCCAGACATTTATTTTCTTTCTCGATTGTCATGTATCACGAATGGAAGATATGAGAAATACGTATACAATTTTAGTCGGAGGACCTGAATGGAGGACAGTTTGGGAGATTTAGGCGTAGATGCAAGGGTAATAAGAAAATTAATTTTAAGGAAACAAGATATGAAGGTGTGGATTAAATTAATCTGGTTCAACATTACCAGTGGCGGGATCTTGTGAACATGGTCATGAACTTTTGGTTTATCTGAAAATGTGGAAACTTTTGATTGACTGCGTGACTGTTAAGGTACAATTTGGCTGCACGCGACAGAGACAAGCGACCGAGGCAGGCGACAGAGACGGGAGACGGACACATCGCAGCTTGTCGTCACACACTTTTGAGGTGACGACCGAGACATGCGGCAAAGTGTTTGTTTTCTTTGTTTTGTTGAGACATACGTGCACATATTCTGTGAAAAATGAGTACAAAAATGCTTCTAAAAAGGTTACTCGAAGAATAAGAAGAAGATGATGTGTTGCTGTGTTATTTGTTGCGAAAGAAACAAAGAAAACCTATGAGTTCAATATTCAAAACCAGACGTGAAGAAGGATCTTTCTGTCGGTGGTCAGTGGTCGGTTTTCTGCTACTAATTCTACCAATTGCTCATCTTGGTCACCAGTAAATTTAATTTCTGTTATTATTTTACTCAACAACGCACGTGCTGCCTGAGCCCGTCGCGAGACACTACTGGTCCGAGAGCGGTCTCCTGTGCTTTGTCTCTGTCGCCTGTCTTTGTCTCGCGCTCGTAATTGTACTTCATACGATTGTACAGAGAGCAGACAGAAAGCGACCAGTCTCGGTCTCGTAACTCTGTCGCCTGCCTCGGTCGCTTGTCTCTGTCGCGTGCAGCCAAATTGTACCTTTAGCTTCTTGAAGAGGACCCACCTCCATGGATTTGCCATTTTTCATACCTAGCTGGCCATCTTGTTAATGTTTTGCAGATATAATTCTGTTTATCGAAAGAAATGACGCTGTATTTAACATCGTATTTAATTTAATATTTGTCATTCAGAGTGTTTTAAAATAAAGTGTATAGCTTATGATGGTATGAATATTTTATGTCATGTGAACTTTTTGAAGATTGAGCCATTTTTTATGTAACTGATAAGAAGATAGATTTTAGAATAATGTAAAATAGTGGTAATGTTGTACTGATGAGAACTGAAGAAGCTCATGTTATTTACTGTCGTTAATTGTTACAGTTTGTAATTATACAGCCTAGTGTTTGCTTTGTACAAAGCCTCAATGTGTTGAAGTTTTAAACCCATATCGAATTTATAATATCCCTATGTGTTAATTGAGGTTTTCATGGCGATGAGAATTCATATTATGGTCTTTTGAATTGCGGCATCGTTTATTATTGTAGAGGGTTACAAACATTTACGAAAAATGCAGCCTCAGTGTTCAGGGCTGATATGAAGTTGGCTATCTTCTGGGTTGTCGTGTCGTGTAGTCTGGTAGAGGTTCATCAACTTTTTAGAGGTCATTTCTAGATCCATAATCACGGGGATGAGCAAATAATGACGATTGAGGCAGCAAGCACCCATGAAAAGTCGTCAAATTTCTACCGGACTACACGGCTCTACAACTCTTAAAGACCGCTTTCTGATTTATGAAAGATTTCCCTCTCATTTTTTTTTAATTTTTTGAAATTTCGTTCATGTTAACGTTCACCGATAATTACGTAAATCTCCGAACAAATAAGGGCAGCATAAGCCATTAGAACTCATATTGCTGTTTATAGTGAACTCTTGTGAACCAGGCTGTGTGCTGAGGAGGACATCCGCTGGTGTCAAAGGAATGCATCCTCAAGACTTGGGTGCAATCACTGCTTATTGTGGACACTTGCCCTCTTGATGGATGACGTCACATGACGCCGGTGGATAAGGACCATAAGGGCGTAAGTACCACTTGACAAGAATAGATCACATCCCTTATTATGCAGAGTACAGCCATACGTAAAAGCTTTAGATCCAAGTCGGCGGATTCATCCGTGCCCCCCCGCCCCGGAAACTATTATTTTGTTTATAAAGGGTCTTACGAAAGAGTCAGAATAAAATATATTTATTTATGTAATACGGGATAAAAATAAAATACATCACATATGAGCTGCAGAGAACAAAAATGTACAGATTTCAACTAAAAATGCAGCTCGTATGGTGGAGACAGGAATTGCTTACAGAGTATTGCCTGAAGATGGCTGTCTTCTGGATTGTTGCGCCATGTAGTCTAGTAGAACTTTACCTACGTTTCGGAGGTGCTTACTGCCGCCATCATCAGGGAGCAAAATCCCAGAGGACAGTCATCTTCATACTCTCTGCCGTGATAGACGGAAATCGCAATCGACAATGGGAGTTTTCACATTTTCCTCACAAACTGGGATATTTTTAGAAATTTTTCTCACGATGGTGAAGATTTCGGTTGTGTTCGGGGTCTCAACATCTGTGTGGAGTTTTAGGCAGTTGGTAAATGTTTCGTGGAATATGCTGCTTCCATCTTCAGTCAAGGCAAAAGTTTGAAACGTTTATTTCCTTAATGAATATGTGGAGCTTTTCCTTCACGCCAACCTTCACGTAGGCCTACATAAGTTTTAAATTGTTAGTTAAATTATTAAAAGTAACTTGTGTTGCATGATGTCGAATCAGATAATTAGGTACAATGTTTGGATATTAGACTGTCGTTGGCCAATTCAGTACATTTCCCCCCTTTCAATCTGGAGATTCTGAGGAAAACTACGAAAGTACTTAAGAAAATGTGTATCCGGACGAGATTTAAATCTTGAACTTTTTGTTTTTGAGTTTTTTCTTGAAAAAATTATAAAATTTAAGTTGATGATTTATGAACTCGATTCATATTAAATTGGCAAAGTTGTATTAGCGAAATGGAGCGTTGCCCAGAATGCGTCTAGCTCATTATAGGACCCAGTGGACGGCTCATATGAACACTACAATGAACTTTCGGGTTTTATAACAGGCAAGGAGTTCTGTTGAGCAAATGTGTCCTCAATAAGTTCTCTAGGGTTAGAATTAATGACAAATAACGAAGATAGGTGCGTAGGCCACTTATCCATTCACAGCAGACTGTCTGAGGCAGTCTGCTGACCGGTGGGGGGGAGGGGGGTAAACTCCGTACTCATTCATGATTCTCTTCGGTACTAAATTATTAATTCAAGGTTGATCCTTGAAAATGAGACAGGATCACTGTGTTCAACTGAAAATCAATTTCCGTTCTCTTAACAAGCTTAAAGCTACGCCACCTTGTCAACTTCGGAGTACGAACCCCGGACGGATCCATTACCGAATTAACAGTGAATGACATGTTATTTATCACTTATCATAAATATGTCAGTATTTTTATTCCTGTAATGAATAAAAATTATTTGGTAAAATTTTAACACACGCAAATGTTGCCAGAGGCGAAACTGCGTTCTTGAGCTGAGAAAATAATTTTTAATTAATATTTAGAGGGAGTTGGAAGTCATGAGGTGTTAGACTCTGGTAAGAGGATGCAGTGGGCATGTATTATTTGAATTTCTTTTATACCACCGTAATGACCTGGTTCAGGGCACTGAATCTCCCGTTGAACTGGTTTATTTTCTGGTGTTACACGAAGCTGCTTGTGTGGGTGTGTATACTTCGACTACGAGCCACCTGTTAGACAAAGGCTGAATCATTTCTTTGTTTTCAGAGTGACAGTATGAGCTATAATATTAAATCAATATTGACCTTCCACAAGGCGCGTCGTTTGTTATTTGTGTCATCTGTAATTTGTCTTAAGACGTACTTCGCCCGGCCCACTTCCAACCTTTGACTCTTGAAATATCGTCAGTTATTTTTGGATCAACTGAATGTGGTCATGATTTTTTAACTTTAAACAGAAAAGGACGAGTTAATCTCTTCCACCTTCGTGTTATGATAGTCTGAGGTTCAAATCTTTATCGTTCCAGTCCAACTTTTCACAATGAGTTTAATTTTATTATTAATTTGTCAATGTTTTTGTAACCCATTTATCAGTTTAATTATTTATAAGTATTTATTGATAATACCCAGGTTACACGAGTGCCATTTTATTTATATATAATTAAGTGATGGGGTTTTGATTGTCAGAAACTGTGTTGTCGAAAATACTGGATGATTAATCAAAGACGAAAAATGTGTGTTTTAGAGCGAATGTTAAATAATCGCTATGGAAGTGTCATATAAGAATTATTAATTACAATATCGCCAGCCTTTCATTGACGGAAGGTTTAAAATACAAATAAATTCCATTTTTGTACCACAGGAATTTTTATTTCAATATAACTTTCTATAATCGAGCGAACAATGTCGTTTGAGGTTAGCATCGTCAATACTGCTGTTACATTGCACGGACGTCCTTACCTTAAATTGTGTTGACTCTAGACGTTAGTGTTCCTGAAATTCTTCCTAATATCCAGCGAAGGATGAACTGGCACCTCTGAGTCTACTGTGAGAGAACTGATGGCACTGGGTGTTCAAGCGCCGACATACCAGTTCTCACAATTGTAGGGATAGAATGGCTCATGTCGACGAAATGCCAAAACCGACGGGTTACTGTTGACTGACTGAGAGTCGGTGAGAGTACCTGAAGTTTCAAATTTTGTTTTGTTAGTAACAATTACTGAGAGATTCTAGGCTCTTCTGACAGTGAATTTGTCGATGTTGGTCTCTGGATAAGAACGTCGTGTGGACTTGTAGATTTACCCTGAAGATGGAGTCAGTATATTCCTCCGAAACTTTGGTATCTACCTACAAGTTCAGAATGCCTTACTACCCGGAGGACCAACAAATTCTTTTTTGTGTGATTTTGAGTAGCGTAATTTAATATGTCAAATACTAAAATAATTTGCTGCACAATAATGACCCCTACTCCGTAAGGGAAACGCGACAGACAGATGATGACGGGCCCATGACACTCACACTAGAGCGTGAAGGACACCTAAGAAACAGGAACGACGATCTTAAAAAAAAGAAAATATCTGATTCGATAAAATAGAGTTCTGGTAAATTCAGCTATAGATAAGTTTAACATTGAAAATACTTGACATTTCTTATGAGACGGATAATGATGTAAACAGTCTGTATCTTGGGATACACGTGGGAAGATAAATATAGAATTAAAACCTCTGACTCAATAACTCGCTGGTAGGAGAACCCGCAGTTCCAACTCCAACACCAAAGCCCGGCACCGGACACGATCCTGAGCCAACTCCATCCATTTACCATCCTCACAGCCCATCACCCTAAGATCAATCTTGATATTATCATCCCATCTCCTTCTTGGTCTGCCCATTAGTAGTTTTTCAGAAGGATTTCCCACCAAATTCTGTTTGCACCCTTTTCCTCCCCCATGCGTGCCACATGTCCAGCCCATCGCAGCCGCCTAGATTTCGCTATCCTCACTATGCTAGGTGACCCGTACAATTCACGCTGTTCCTCGTTGTGTAATATTCTAAATTTCCCACTTATTTCATACTTCCTAGGTACAGATGTTTTTTTGAGCACCTTGTTTTTAAAGAATTGCTAGGTACAGATATCTTTTTGAGCACCTTGTTTTTAAAGAATTAAAAAGACAAATAATGATAGTTGACATTGTTCTCTTTCGTGACATCATGTAGGTTTGCAAACTTCTACTCTGAAGGTGCAGGAGGTAGGTTCCTCCGAAACGTGTGTAACTAACTGCAATGATACGTACACAAGTCGTCGCAACTCAGAATACCAAAATTAACATGTTTTCCGCTGCGAGAACCTCAGACTGAAACTTCGTAAATCCAACTCTTTATAAGAACATTATTGTTACACCGGACAGGCGCCCGACAAATTTTGATGTACGAACTCCGAATTTAGTCGAAATCCGTTCAGTTATTATGATAATATAAGCATGTTAACGGACAGACACGATTTTACCGTCATGCAGTCACAAGAACTCAGAAAAATTAACACAAAAAACGGATAATTTCTCGTGTTATTACTCAGACTCTCCACACCAAATTCTTATTTCCTTTTTAGCACATTTTGCAGCTGATTCAAAATCAGGAAGTATTTCTTTTATGTGATTCATTGAAAATTAATTGATCCTTGAAGTAATTAGAATAGAACGAATTTTATATTTCCTTATTTATACAAAGTTTATGTTAGTGTAAAATATTTTGTACACGAATTATTTCAACATGGAAAGTAATTTGTAAAAAAAAAAAAGCCCACAGTACTTTCAAAGAAATGTCTTGAACAGTGTGACACTAGCTTACTGCGTTTGTGTCCAGAATTAAAGTCCACATTTAATAGTAAATAGAGTATTCCTTAATTAGTAATGTTTAATGACGAATATCCGGGTTTAGAACCCCAACTTCGTGTTCAAAGAATTCTTGGTTTCAAATATTTGCTTAGAAATCAAAATACTGAATGAAATGTTCAAGTAAAAATGAGACAGAAACAACATATCAACGTTCTTACACACATAAATGAAGACATCAATAAGATTATGAAATGGAAAAGTACGTACGATAGGTCAGTAACCAAATGTCATTAAAGTAAATAAACAAACAAATTAGAAAGTGATAAATAATAAAATGTATTTAGGACCGCGAAATTATATTTTACAAACAAAGTTTTACCTTTCTTTATCTTATGCTTAAAATATATTGTATTTTGAATTAGAATTCTATATTTGTAGTTGGTATTTTTATTAATCTAAATGTTTAAATATTTTTCGTTCACTCACAGTAATTAAAGCAGGTAATTGAAAAATTAAAAGTTGTACAACGTACGAAAATATTGAAGAAAAACTGGATTGCTAGAATTTAGTGTCCTGTCAACGCTTCATCAAGGCGCTTACCTGCAGATGTTGGGCCGCTCAGTCCTTCCGCTGTGTTCCTCCCCGGCA